GTTATCAGATCGGCGAAACGTGTCTCCGGCGCCGTTGATCCCGGGAACTTTTTTGTTAGCCAAGATTTCGGCATCAGCAACCAGCCCAGATAACAACGACAGGATGTTGAAGACGGTGTACGTAAAGACGACTATCGCTTCTGCACGTATGAGCGACTCTAACATGACACTCTAGCAAACCCAAGAATGCCCGCGCCAAGCGCGCAATGGCAAAGCGCGAGCCGCAACAAAACGAGAACCCCAAGACCACGCTCTTCGTCTCCGGCCAGAAGACCTCTCAGATCCTCAAGCTCGCCGTCGCCGACCTCTGCACAATCAAGCGACCCTTCATCGAGCGCTTCACTAAGAAGAACGACATCCACCCCTTCGACGATGCAACTTCGCTCGAGTTCTTCTCCCAGAAGAACGACACCTCGCTCCTCGTCCTCTCTCTGCACTCAAAGAAGCGACCACACTGCTTGACACTGGCAAGAACATTCTCATACAAGATGCTGGACATGCTGGAGCTGTACATCAACGCAGAGACTTTCCGGACACTCCAGCAATTTAAGAACAAGAAGCCTTCCATCGGCCTCAAGCCACTAATCAGCTTCCACGGCACCGTCTTCGAGGACCCCAACCAGACCAAATACACACTAGCCAAGAGTCTGTTCATCGACCTGTTCAAGGGCCAAGACGCAACCGAAGTCGACGTCGAAGGCCTCCAATACCTCATCTCCGTCTCCGCCGAAGAACCCACCGACGCGCTGCCCAACCCGCAAATAAAACTCCGCTTCTACCTCCTCCGCACCAAGCGCTCAGGCCAAAAGCTACCACGCATCGAAGTCGAGGAGATGGGCCCGCGCATGGACTTTACCCTCGGCCGCGAGATGTTCCCTGACCCGGATATGATGAAGCAGGCGCTGAAGAAGCCCAAGGGTGCTGAGCCGCGCACCAAGAAGAACTTCGACACCGATATGATGGGTGACAAGGTGGCCAAGGTGCATCTTGGCAAGCAGGACTTCGGCAACCTGCAGACAAGGAAGATGAAGGGTCTCAAGCGAGGAAGGAACGAGGACGACGAGGAGGTTGGTGTCGAGGACACGGCGAGTGAAGGCGAGGAGGAGGAGAAGACGCCCAAGAAGGCCAGAGTATGAAATGGAACAAGACATGAGATGTAACTGCATGGGCGGCGTTAATGGTGCCTCTGGCGTTCAACTGTTGGGTGAGACTATACCAATCTGCACGTTTGTAGCAAGTCATAGGCGTCTCAAAAGTCGAATTGATTCGAGTGATCTTCGGCGTCTACGTTTACTGTCATGTCTACTCTCTAATCGTCATCCGGCTCATCAGCCAGTAACCACTTCGCTCGGCATTTCACTGCCGCGCTCCTAACATCTCTCTTCCCATCATCCAGCGCAGCGATGAGTCTCCGAACGACTTCTCTCCTGTACCCCAGTATCCTCTCTTCCTTGAACTTCTCTGCTACCAGGTGCAGACACTTCAAAGCTGCTGCTCTCACTGCTGGCGGTGGTGGCGTAGCTTTATTCTCCTTGGTGACGGTAGCATTGTTCAAAAGACGAGAGATGAGTGCACCAGCATGCTCTTCTAGCACTTCCGGCTTCTCTGTGAGGGTCGAAGTGAGAGTACCGATTGCGGCCTCCTTGACAACGTCCACGCCCTTGAGGTCCAGAGATTGGAGAAGCAGGGTAACGAGCTGTCCAACTTCCTCGACTACTATCTCAAATGGCATCCATCTCAGTGCTCCGCTCAGTGCGATAAGGTAGTTGGGCTTCGTCTGGGCATCTGCTTCTCGGAATGATTTTGTGATATTCGGTACCAGTAACGCAAAGCTCTTATGCTTATGTAGACCGAGGATCTGGCAGTGGTTTTCCTTGGTGAGAAGGTCGTCAGGTTGCAGAAGTGTTGTGAAACCTTGCGCGACGGTACTGCCATACTTCGGATGTGATAGCAGGGACAGGAGTGTTGGATACAATGTGTTCAGCGCAGGGCTGCTCCGCAATACAATGCCCTTGAGGCACGCGAAGATGATGCGTATCCGTGGCGGATCAAGCTTCTCCGGGTTGAGAAGGTCAAAGTCTGCGATTAGGGGGTCCATACATGTCTTGAGTGCGGCAGAGGTATAGTACTTGTTAATGATGAGGGACATTTGTCGAAGGGATGCTGATCGGACGGGTAGAGATAGCGAGGCTTGTTGGGCGTAGTTTGCTAGAGAAGATATCAAGACTTGTAGTTCGCAAGGTAGTGTCGCATCCTTGCGTAGGGAAGCGAGGAGGTGTGTAGAGACAATCATCGTCTTGTTCGCTTCCCCACCGGCGTCGAGACTGAAGGGTGGGAGTTCGGTTTGTGGCTTGCCACGGAACAAGGTGTACAGCTCCGCAGCAACATTATTCTGCTGTTCAGTGGGAAGGTACCTGATGATCAAGTTGCATATGCGGCCGACAAGGTCAAGTGTGGTCTCGTCGTCAAAAGCCGCTGGATGTGTTTCATCAGAACTCGATGCGCGTTCGATGAGTGGCAACGCGATGTCCCTGTAGTAATTAGAGCTGTCTGAGCCCTGCGACAGCTTGGTCTCGCCCTTCTTAAGGGCATACAACATCGCGGAAATTAGCGCGACAATGTATGTAGAAGAAGCACCCTGTTGTACTGCAGCGCTGAACTTGTTCTTGAGTCGCAATATGACGGTGTCAAATACCTGCTCCTCGCTGGCCAGCTTGGCGAAGGCTTCGAGAACGGTCGAGTAGCTTTTCGACCCGTCCGCGTCAGTGTCTGGAAGTTGCGCAAGGAAAGCCGGGAATGCTTTCTCGACTACGACTTGTGGCTTCTGGTGGGCAATCTCAACGATACCGTTGATCGCTGCTTCCTTAACCTCATCCTTTCCATGTGATTCTTCGTGGATGACAGTGGAATGCAGAAGCTGAATGATTCTGCCGATATCGTCATCGCTGAGTAGTCCCCGCGCTTTCGATAGCTGGATAAGTCCATCAAGACAGACTAGTCTAAACGACACTTCTTTGGCTGGGGCTGTCTCGAGACCGTTCAACATGACTTCTAGCGCTTGGTCTCGGAACTGAGCCAGCGCGTTGTTGCTGACTTCTTCTCCACCAGGGCCCATCTTTCTCCAGTCACCATACACGTCGATGTTGGCTTTTACGAGCTGAACAAGAACTTCCAACAGGCCTCGACGCTTTGCCATGGTATCGGCTGTCTGGAATAGGAGGAAGAGGTTCGGTAACACTCCGGCCAGCACGAGGCTAGTGACTTCGGGAGACACATTGGCGATGCTTTCGAGAAACCTTGCGGAAGCCTGGGATTGCTTCGTGGGCGCATCTTCGAGGTGTTCGTTGCACTCCTTGATAACAGGTTTGAGATACGCATTGAGTGATCCTGGGGTGCCCTTCGATAGTGTCCGTGCAATTGCTGCTAAACCTGCAAGCGCTTCCTTCGCCAGGTCTTCCTCTTGCACATTCAAGACTTCAAACTTCAACGCGTCCCATAACGTGACCGCGTATAAAGATACTGTCCTTGGTCCGTATTCAGTCACTGAGGCGGTGATCGTCGATAGAACGTCTCGCTTGGTGTTCATAGACGTAGAATCGAGCTTGTCCAGAAGCGCAGGGAACGCATATGGCGCAAAGTCGGCCGTGGATGAAATGCAATCCCGCAAGCGATCCTTCAAGTCCTGCGCCGTGATGCCATAGGGATCATCAGGTGGCGGTCTGAAGGTAATTGGGAAGTAGTTGAAGACTGCGTCAAACAGGTCCTGTGCATCTCCGCCAATGTTCCATTCCGTCATTGGAACCCTGAGTATCGAAAAGACGACCATCAGATTCCGGGGATCCTTTTCCCCGTCAAAGTATGATATGAAGCGTCCCAAGAAGTCTGGTGTCGCATCGTGGTGGGCTCGGATGGCGTCGCGGTATTTCGCCATGAGCGTATCGATTAGGCGCAGTACCGGGTAGCGTTCGCTCTGCTGCTTGTATTGTCGTAGCGGATGTGTGTTGTTGAGGAGTGCCTCAACGATGCTGACTACCCGTTGGTCATCCCATTTCCCCAGCTCTTCGAGTGCCATTAGTGCCTTTGCGCATGACCCGAGGCCTTCGTTGTCTTCGGTTCGGGAAAGGGTGAAGTCGCAGAGCAGGTTCCCTAAGCTTCACGTTAGCCCAGTCCCATCTCATGACACGATGCTCTCGTCCTAGAAATGCAACCCATATCTAATGCTCCGGCCCGGTTCCAATGGTTGTCATGGTCTGCGATATGCGATGGATATGTACGGGAAGCAATATAGTATGGGCTGAGCGATCGCGGGTTCACGTACGTTGCTGGAGGGAGAGAACCTTCTGTGGGACGGCTGCGAGTACCTCCGCAAGGTACGACATTGCTACGATGAATTAGCCGAGCTCCTACTAGATTCCAAAGCGATACGTACTCTTCGACCGTGTGGCCCCATCTTCGCTGTTCAGGTACTCCCCAAGGTCAGTGACCAGGCTGATAAGCTTCAATTCGCCATTCTTCAGTCCTGTCCACAATCAGCCCTCATCCCACCAGATGCCCCGCCGGAACCTCGTACATACGCGTCGCGCTCCGTTGAGCAGTCGCTGTTGCTTCTTTCTTGTTCCTATCAAAGTCCAGCAGATACTGCTGAGCATCTGACATGTTGATGGTCGCGGGTGCGGTATATTGCAATGTGTTGCCGTATGCCTCGAAGCACGCGATTCAGAAAGTTGCAGAGTTGCGGCAATGACGTTACGGAGTTGCGGTGCTGCTGATTGGCCGGTATCGGAATGGTGGGGCGGGTCGCGCAAAAAAAGTTAATGGGAAGTGTCGGCAGTGAGGAAAGTGTGTTTAATTGACCCGATGGGAGAGGCTTGACTGGTCCCTGTGGCCCCGTGCTGTGGAATAAATCGTCTTCTCTGGACCGACTCATATCTTGGATCTACTATTCCAACCGTCGACTATTCCGCTGCCCATCATCCCCAGAACAGCAAAGTTACCCCGCCATGGCCGACGATAAACCTAACTGCAAAGTCATCCTTGCGAACAACATCGCCAAGGGTCTTTTGGACGAGGTGCGCGATGGTCTGAGCAAAATTCCGCGCAAGCCGCTACTCGTTGGCTTCCTCTCCAGCGCAGATCCTGCCGCGAGGGTATACGCAGAATGGACAGGCAAGACTTGTGTTGAAAAGTGAGCAAGTCCACAAGTCAATGCTGACTTCTACCATGGCTGAGCCTTTGGCTGGATGTCGGGTGAAAGCCGCCTACTGACCTCATTGTAGTGGCTTCGCATTTGACCTGCGCGAAGTCGACCGCGAGCTCCTTGAGGACCGCCTCATCGAAGCGAACAACGACGCTGCCGTGGACGGCATCATTGTCTACTACCCCATCTTCGGTAACCGCCAGGATCAATATCTCCAGCAAATTGTCTCCATCGACAAGGATGTCGAAGGACTGTCGCATCGTTACATTTTCAACATGTACCAAAACATTCGCTTCCTTGACCCTGCCAACACCAAGAAGAGCATCTTGCCTTGCACACCCCTGGCCGTGATCAAGATCCTGGAGTACCTGAGAATCTACAACACCATCCTGCCATACGGTAACAGACTGCACGGACGCACCATTACCGTCATCAACAGAAGCGAAGTGGTAGGTAGACCACTCGCAGCACTACTTGCAAACGACGGTGCCCATGTCTACAGCGTGGATATCAGCGATGTGCAAGAATTCACACGAGGCGTTGGTCTACGAAAGCGAAGGCACGAGGTGGTGGAGAAGCCTGGCTGGACCCTCAACGACTGCCTCCCACTTAGCGATGTAGTCATCAGCGGTGTACCTGGAGACAAGTACAAGGTGCCACTCGAGTTGATGAGGGATGGAGCCGCATGCATCAACTTTTCCAGTGAGAGGAACTTCACGCCCGAGGTCAAGGAGAAAGCCTCCATCTACGTTCCTGCCATTGGCAAAGTCACTATTGCGGTGCTCTTGAGGAATCTGTTGGTACGTAATCATGCGTCTAGCTACGGGACTACACTAACATTATTACAGCGCCTCGCGCAAAACAAGATTGATGCTGCTGCTCAGGGCGTGGATGAGAAGTCCTCGGCTGAGCCAGTGATTCAGTCGACCGCATAGACATGTATTCATCATTCTGCATCGTGTCCTCATTTTGATACCCTATAGAAGGCACGCGTGCCATAACAAAATTCGCTCGTCATCCAGCGTTTCTGAGTCTGTGCTTGTACCTGGTCAATGTCCAATGTCACGCAGCATGGAGTAGACTCGACCGTCATTCAGAGTCCCCGATCTCGTAAAAGCAAAGCCATCATATTAAAGTCGGGCAAGAAATTGCACAAGGATTTGTGACTGAAAAATACCAACCATTTGATCAAGGAAGGTAGGATTAACCCATTGAGTCCACATGACCCAGCCAGGAAGAAACCAAATTGAGAACAGTAAAGGTATAAACAAGGTGCGAAATTCGTTACATGATTGAACGCCACGCTAAATGTGAAATCAAGACGCTTCCGGCGGCATGGGCACAGGCACGCTCTCCACCTTGATCTCCGGTTGCGGCGGCTCGTATACATCGCTCTCTGCCTCAGGTGCCGCTCGCCTAGGTAAGGGTCTTTCCCTTTCTTCGTAGTACATATAGTCGTCAGGGCGACTATTGTATCTCTGTGGTGCGGGTCTCTCGTATTGGACCGGGACATAGCCATATGAGTCATGTTCATATCGGTGAGGCTGATGTGGCATATACGGGGCCCGATACCTGGTGTCACCACGTACACGAATGACCTCGTAGTCATGCATGGGATGCCCGTACTCGTCAACATAAACTGGCTGTGGACCGCGTGGTTCGTCGTAACGATATCGTGGTGGTGAGTACCCGTGCGCATGTGGATGCAGACGGTCTTGCACAGAGACGTATCCGCGGGGATGACGGCGGGCAGGTGGATAGAACCCTTCGTCTTGTACAGACTGATCAATGCTGTGCTCTCGAGAATACGCAGGCTCGTAGTCAGGCTCAGCATTGGGCTGCGGTGTTTCTTGTTGATCGATGCGACGCTTTTGTTCTTCATATCTCCGACTTTGCGATCGGCTCATGCTAGAACCACGTCCGTAGGGATCTTCCCGCGCGACACTCATATATCGATGATATCGAGACGGTCCCCGGTTATCATTAGGCCGATCTCTTCGGCGTTGAGGTCCAGCCCTTCGTGGCGGACCGCTTGGTCCAGACATTGGCATCCGATACCCGTTGGATTGATAGTCGTCATATCGGGAGTTGTTGGAAACAGTGGAAGGAGCTCGAGGATGTGGGGGCGCAAGTGGGCGAACAGGTGCTGTTACATCTGCTGGTGCAGGAGCTTCTGGAGGCGGAGGCGTGTAACGAGGCCCATCCCCGTTTTCCTGTGCTGGTGCAGCAGCGTCTACTTCGGACTGTGGTTGTGGCTGTGGGGGTTCGTTCTCTGCTAGGAACCGATCTGCTGCAGATTGCCCTTGAGGTGGACTGGCATCCCTTGACTGACGCTCGTTCATGAACCGGTATTCGGGCCGATGATCATCATCTTCATAGTATCGAGCCTGGCGGGGATAGGCACTGTATTCCCGACTACCGTGGCTTCCTTCCCGCGGATGTGCGTAGACCACGTCCTCGGGTGGTCCATAGAATCGCTCTTGCTCGCGGAACGCTGTTCGGCGGCCGGTGTAATCCTCATATGTAGGACCTGCATGGATGATCCTTGGGCTGGGGGCGTACTCCACGTACTCCCGGGGGCGGTGATAGCCGTCATCAAGGTGATCCCTCGGCAGCTGGCAGACAAAGATGTTAGTTTCACTAATGTTTCTGCGGAGTTTTGTAAATCACGTACATAGTATCGCGGCTCAGCATAATGGTGCTGCCTACGTTCTGCGGGCGAGCTCTCTCGATATGAACGTTTCCTGTTCATGGAGCCTGACGCCTCATTCGATTCGCCGGCAAGGCTTGGTCGAACAGGCTCATAACCAGCCTCCAGCGGTTTGGGTGGTAGCGCCGAATTTGCTTCTGCTGCTTTCATAACAGAGTTGGGGCGTGCTATTCCCTCACCAGCAACATCGGCTGCACCAGTCGTTTTGTCGGAATCCTTTGGCCCTGACGAGGCTGGGGAAGCTAATCCATGGCTATCAATTACGCCGATCTTAGGCAGTGGCATAGGAAACAAGCTGGGAAAGACGGTCGCTATCATTAGCAGCTTCTCGTCGTCCATGCCTGGGGCGTGTATGAGACCAGAAATGAACCGTTCGCTTGGAAGCTCGATCATGTGTTCCTTCCAGTCCAGAGGGGCAACAGGCATTCCGTGGCCAGGCATTGGTTGCTGAAAAGGCAGATGCTGGCTCCTGAAGTGCGATAACAGGCCGAGGACAGTATAGGTTGTTCTTTCCTCCGACTTGGAGTAGAAGGAACCCCCTAAGTTGTGCGAGGCGCCCGTCTGACAAGCTTTGCATGAGAGGCCTGGTGCATTCTTCAAAGCCTTTGGCATCTCATGATTAGACAGAGCGTCAATGAAGTGGTTCAGGTTCGGTTCATGATTGAACTCTACATGAAACTTGGAGATGACGCGATGCAGCAACACATAGATCCGGAGGCTATTCGGCATGTCTTTGATCCCCGAGGTGCGTTTCCAGATGTCCTGGGTCATGTCGATGACGGTACTTACTTGCTTGTCAAACGAGCTAGTACTTTGGCCAGTATCTTCTGTACCGCTAGGAGCGATCTCAGGAATTCCTTGGCTAGGTGGTGGCATGTTGGGTGGTGGTGGAGCTATGGCATTGTTGATCATCGCTGGAGAAGTCAGGTAAGGGTTTTGGGCCGCATGAGCACCATAGCCCGGGGGACCCATTGCTTGATGTGCATACATATCCACGGGTGTCGCATATGGCTGGGGATACTCGAAGCCAGAAGGAACCTGTGGTGGAGCGAATGGTCCATTGTACTGGCCTCCATAGTTGTACGGACCAGGACTCGCCTGTGGATGGTGAGTTGGCATGTGAGGTGTTGATGTCCCTGCGCGTGAGTATCCGCCAAAATAGCCACCAAACCCATTCGTACTAGAAGAGGGATGATGGCCATGTTGAGGTTGCTTAACAGAGAGAGGATCTGGGTGGAACGGAGTCTCCTCTGGCCACTCGGCTTCTCTCCATGCAACAACCACGTTTCCTGAACTGAAGGCAGCAGTATGTTTGGCTCCGTAGTGCTGCGTGACGCCCTCGAAACCATAGTACTTATTGTTGTACTCGCATCCGCTGCCATGGCACAGAAAGATGTCCTTCCGGAATGGTTCTGTCAAAGGCTTGATCTTGTTGTCGTACACCCATTTCATGTTATCCAGGACGAGCCTGGGCCTAGTAGTCATATTGTCAGTAGAAGGCTGCGTATGTTGTCCGGGATGATCAGAGTCCTGTTCGGGTTCCTCAGCATAGTATGTGCGACGCACGTGAGCAAGGAGGTCGGCCGCAAACTTTGGGCTGTTGTCGTAAGTGACGGCGCTGCCATGGTCCCAGCTCTGATTAATGAAGTCGTCGGCGATGGCTTCGAGTCTGTCGCGGATGGGTCGTTGCGACTCTTCCCACTCTCGGTCCATGACTTCTCTGGCCTCCTTGGAATTGGCGTCGGTGTGGCGGCGGTCGGCAGCTTTTGTGGGAAACGAAGCAGCCCGAGCCACGTGGTCGGCTTCTGCTTGTTGGGCAGCAGGGAGCTGAGCGATCAAGCGGGGTTGGAGCACACTCCATGCGTAGTCGTTCATTGGCTGTGAAATTTGGATAGCCGCTTTGAACGAGTCCATGTGGCGCAAGACGTTGGGAGCGATAGGAGGGTCCATTTGCTGACACCGGCGTTCTATGTCGGTCTTCCGGGTCGCCTTGGCCTCGTTTGCATCGTGTAGGTTTCTCTGGCCAGAAGGGGTAAAAGCCTGTGGTGGAACAGTAGGCGGTCGCGCTTGCGCATGCTGCGACGATGGTGCTACACCTGTTAGGGAGGGGACTGGAGAGGTGTTGTTGACATATCGAGAGGCATCGCCATGTGTGGCAGCAAATGAGACAGCAGAGGTATACTTACTCGCTGGAACCGGAGCATGAATGATGGGAGAGGGAGTCCGACGAGGGGGTGATTTGGACGGGTCCTTGTGTGACGTGGCGGCATGCGAGGGAGCTGCAGATGAAGCGCGCTTCGCACGCTCGTGCTCCTCCATCCACCGGTTCTTGACCTCCCAGCGTTCCCAGTTCTCGGCGACTTTCATGCGTTCTTTTCCGCGAGCATCGAGTCCTTTGGACCACTCCTCAGCTGCGGCAGGGCCACGGCTGATGGCCTCATTCATCTCCTGCGTGATCTCCTCGACATGCTTCTTGTAGTAGAACTTGGCAATGTCGACGTCGGCCGGCGTATTCGCAGATTGCAGGGTGTATGCCGGAATGTAGTGCTGGTCGCTAGTGAGGAGGGCGAACGGGAGGGCGGGTCGCAGAGCGGAGGCAGCCGAGAACAGAAGGCTCGCGTCCTATACATGTCAGTCGTGACCGGGGAAGAGGAAGGTGCAACTCACCGTCTGGCATTGTTTGAGCAGGCACGGCCCGCAGGCTCTGATGGCGAAGGGCCAAATGACGCGGACGCCTTCCTTGCCGGGGCCCTTTTCCCATATGCGCTCGCCTGGAGTCAGAGAATCAAGCTTATTGCAGAACTGACATCTCCTGGACCAAGCCAGCTGCCACATGCGCAGCTCGGTGAAGCCTGGGAGCGGCTTCGGGGGCTTGGTACACATTGCGTTGCGGGCAGAGGCCCACAACGACTCGGACTTTAGGAGATGCAGACGGCCAGGATGCGACTTTGAAGTCGACAGACTGCGCACGTCTGTGAGATAGGATAGGAAAGATCGATTGACCTGGATCAATCGACCGAGATCTGCAAGCGAACAAAAAGAGAAAACATGCTGCCACAACTCGGGTGGTAGCTTCACGAGCGGCTTCGCGCTGCTGAGCTTGCGCTTCTTGTCACGCTCATGGGGCGCATCCTCTGCCTTGCGCTTTGCGACAGGCGCGTCGCTCTGCGCAGCCGGCGCCTGGGGAGGATTCGCATCAGAGCCGTAGAAGTCGACCGACGACGC